GTGGGGGGGTGGGGGGGGGGCGGCCGGGGAGTCTCGCACGTCCATACTCGTCGCTTACCTCTCCCAGGCGGGGTGTCCTGGCGGTTGTTTGCGGCTGAGGCGCCGCGTTCACGTCGAAGACGGCTAGCTGGTGTGTCTCCGGAACGTGGGGTCTGCATCTGTATGCGTCGCTTTCACTCAGGGTTTTAAAGAAATGTGGCGGCCCGAGCGCTCATCCCACAGAAGGGCTGTGCCTAACTGGAGTGGTTTGTGCTGGTGTCACCCCAAAATAACTGGCTATAGCTTAGGGCTGCCAGAAGAATACTTGTTACCGAAATCAGGAGTGAACCTCTTAACACCAATGTGGTATCAAAAAGCAAGCATTCTTAATTTGGCGCTGGGGACACAGGAGATCTCTCCACGCAACATGTCTGTCGAATACGAGTTTCACAGAGACTTATATCTATACAGGATGTGCTTAGTCATTGTATTTTCCAGAATTCATTTCCATATTTATTACACTTCGTAGAACTGATAATAATATTTATTACCCTGGCACATGCGCATTAAGTCAGTTAGGAGCTTCTCGGAACGTTTTGGGGTCATCCCTAGTGGTGTCTGGTGGTTGCACAAGAGTGATCTCTTGGTGAACTCCTGGTGGTTCTCTCTTGGAGTGTCATTCTGTTTACCTCATTTCTTGACCACTATGGCTCATTTGGGCTGCTAATAGAGGAACTCTTTGTGTGGATTGGGGAGGCAGAGGCCTTTGCAATTAGCTGATGTGGCATGGGGTGGTATTCTTCACTGTTTGGTCTTGCTCACAATTTCAAAAGGTGCATTTAATTACAAGGAGTTCTAATTACACATTTACATATTCAGCAGGCTCTTAGTTCCTAGTTGTAACATTGACAGCCCGCACCTCAAATACTGTGTTCAGTTTTGGGCCCCTCACTACAAGAAAGACATGGAGGTGCTGGAGCATGTCCAGAGAAGGGCAACAAAGCTGGTGAGGGGTCTGGAGAACAAGTCTTACGAGGAACAGCTGAGGGAACTGGGGTCATTTAGCCTGGAGAAGAGGAGGCTCAGGGGAGACCTTATTGCCCTCTACAACTACCTGAAAGGAGGTTGTAGTGAGGTGGGGGTCGACCTCCCAAGTAACAGGCAATAGGACAAGAGGAAATGGCCTAAGTTGCACCAGGGGAGGTTTAGATTGGATATTAGGAAAAATTTCTTCACCAAAAGGGTTGCCAAGCATTGGAACAGGCTGCCCAGGGAAGTGGTTGAATTGCCATCCCTGGAGGTATTTAAAAGACATGTAGATGCTGCAGGCCAGGGGAGAAAGTCTTGCTCTGAACTTGCTCTAAACTCATTCCTTTACACAGCCCTCCCACGCAGCCCCAGGCCCCTCTGAGTGCTGGCACTAAGGTTTCTGCTGTGGCCATAGTCTTCTGTTGGGCATCAGCCCCTGGGGTGTACGTGAGAGGTTGCTTCTCTGAGGCAAGGAATGGGTGACGCTGTTTTTCTGCTTAAATAAAGAAATGGTGCCTCTTGGAAGCCAAATCCTGTCACTGGGTTCTGAGGGAGAAGCCAAGCCAACTGTCACCTAGTGCTTTTGCAGATCAGTTTGTGTACGTAGACCAGATCTGAAGGAGACAATTGTTTATATGTATATACAGATTCCTCCTTTTGCTTTTAAAGACAGTGGGGGTGGCCAAAAACCAAATAAAATAGGATGGCCATGGTAGGGAGGAAGCTGCATGTCTGCT